CAGCGGTGCCCAAGGGGCACGCACAAACCCCGCCGTCCCTGCGGCCACACCAGCGCCGCTTGGAAAGGCAGGACTGGAGAGCTTGAAACTCCCCTTGACTGAGCCGGGTATCAAAAAACAAGTGGGGAAATGTAGCTGTCTGGTACCTCAGATGTGCTGTAGAGTCAAGTCATTAGTGATCCCAGCTCCTTCTCCTTAACCATCTGTCCCCCTCTGTCCTCTTGCGCTGCCGCGGTTGCTCCGACACTGAACCCCCGGCCAAGGTGGCCAGGTTGCGTCACACACACACCCACACCCACACACACCCCCACACACCCCCCCACACACACGCTTTGCTGCCTCTCCGGTTTCTCCCGGGCATTTGAAGTGCCCCCCCTGCGCAGTGGTGGGAAGCTGAGCTGACACCAGCCCTTGGACGCCCCTGACGTGAGCTCCTGGCGCCGGCGTTGGGAGACAGGGACAAACTCACTGGGCACTTTTCCGCAGTCTCGGCAGTTTTTTAAGTCAAGAGACAGCACAGCACGCTGTAGTTAGCAGAGACCTTTGCGCACTGGCCCCAGGATTGCACCGTTCGTGTTTTCATGGTTCTTTGGTTCTGTAAATCAAGCAGAGAAACCTAAACTGGGATACAAATGTGTTTTAACAGGATATGGACATGAATGCACACAAGAGCACAGCAACCCAGAGGCCCTGGATCCCCAGCCCCCACCCCCAATTCTGGCAGCGATCACGAGTTAAAAACGGATATGTGTTTTGTAAAATGGCTGCCGGTGTTACAGTGGTCTGAATTAAAAAAAAAAAAAAGTCACAGCCAGTAGATTTCGGTAGTGCAGAGCGTGCAAAATTGGTACGTGAGTCTCCAACCCCGGGGCCCTGTAGCACGGGCCACCGCAGGTTACTGGGCTGATCCGCTGGGCTGTTTGGCTACACGAAGTCAAAGATTTCCATTTCTCTCTCTCCCCAATCCGATCACACCTCCTGAGAGCTGAAACCACAGGAGCGCTTCAACCTGCCTCCCCCCATCCCCAGCCTGCTTTCAGTTCTGCGGTATTTGTTGGGCAAATAAATGTTGGTAACCCAGCATGATCTGTCAGAGGGTTTTTCCTTGCTGATATGATAAGCCACGGCAAAGGCTTATCTGTAGAGCTGTACTTCTGGGACTTTTTTTTTTTCCTCTTTTTGATCACGGTAACAGCACGTTGTTGTTGCCCAACACAATACCCACCCTGTTTTGTAAAGCTGTGGTCTCTCACCAGGACCTGCACTCCCCGCCACTGTATTTTTTGCTGTACAGGAGAGCTGACAAAAGCTAATGGGCTCAAGTAATTTTATCTTGCAGAACAGTGAGTTACAACAAACCTGAACATACTTGAATCAGAATGACAGACCATGAAATAACATTTTTTTTTTCACTTTACACTGCCTGCCCTGCCTGACCCAACTTTCAACTGGGCTGGCTGCCACAGTGATTATTTCATCTGCCACAGCAAAAATCTTTATTGGACACAGCAAAGTCTTCAGTAGCAAAATCTAGCTTGCCTCTGAGACAAGCTGTATTTAACTGGGTGTTTGTGTGTCGCTACTTGGGCTGGAAGTTTTAACCTGTGCAGCAGTACCAGCCAGCAGTACCAACTAGCAGCTGAGATGCTGCTTTGCCTGCATCTCAGCTCGAGAGTTCATCACTTCGAACGAGGCTGATTGCCTCTCCTGTTTGAGGCGAAGAACAACAACAAAGTAGGTTAGTTTTGGCACAGATCTCCTGCAGGGCAAATTTTTGACTACAAAGAACAGCCAGGAAAACCGTTCAAGGCAGACAGACAAAACCAGGATCAAGGAGAAAAAAACAGCTGTTTTCAACCCCTCTCTTTAACATTTATTACTTGAAACTATTGATCAAGACCATAGTCTGTGCTCAGTAGACATGCACACACCTTGGTTATTTGGCCTGTGAGGCCAGTACACATCACATCACTTGTGGTACATAGACAGCAGCTCCTCGAGCTGATAACTGGTCCTTACCAGGGAAGGACCGGCTTTAGGGTGCTTACGTCTACCACTTTTTTGGCCCAATATCTCATTATTAGAGTGGAGTCTGCAGTGGGGACAAGCCCCGCAGCCTTGCAGCTTTGCAGGGCATTCTTCATTACTCTCTTGAGGGTGAACAAAACCACTGGATTAAAACAGCCAGGAGCTGCAGGTCCTTTGACACCTGCATCCAAATGTTTCTTCCCGGATCCCATCCCAAACTTGTTCACTCTTAAGGCAGATGCATCTGGGCAGCTGTGCACGGAGCGGCAGGTGACAGCATTCCTGAGCTGCGCTCATCCTTCCTCAAACTGGGTGAATATAAAGCAAAACAATGAAAAGTTGTCTTCCAAAGGTTGTCTTTATGTCAGAGAGAATTCTGAGTACTTTCGCACAGTATATACAGAGTATATGCATACACAGGAGTTTAAACCACATCACATATTGCGCACTAGGGAGAAATCTCATGGCTGAGTGTAGGCAGGTGTTGCAGGAACTGCTTATTATCAGATATATAGATGTGGGAATTTAATCAAAGTAAATAAGAACCTGCCCAAGTCAGTCACAAACAAGACGCTGGGCTGCCTGTCAAGTCTTATTCTTTAGCATGGCGCAGGAATGTTTCTATCGTTCTGCTAAAAGGGTCGGTCCTGCTACGCTGAAACACTCGAGCAAGTGCTAAACTTTGTGCATCTGAGTAGTTCTGCTGAAATTGAAAGGCTTCACTGTCACGATTTGGCAGACCAGGGTCTTCATTAAATCATAGGAAGTTGCATCGATGGTTGATGCAAATGTGGTAGCGTTCGGCTCAGCTCCACTGCTCCCGCACCGCTGGCAGGAGCCAGGTCCCATCTGAGAGGGCGAGTGAGCAGTCTGAAGGTTGTTTGACTCATCTGGTCGTTTTTGGGCCAGGGAGTTAGTGCTGCCGCTCATCATGCACTCCTGCCTGCTCACACCCGCTCATCCCTCAACTTTGCCCATCAGTTCTGTGCTGAGCGACACGAAGGAGACAGCTCTGTGGTTTGGATTTCTGTCCTGGAGAAGGGGAAATAATAGAGATTCAGCCAAGCGTCCGTCACTGTTTTAATTACGAAAACCCTAAAATAGTTTCACGGGAAATGAGCAGTCGTGACCACTGTAGTGCAGCGCATGTCGAAGCCTGAGTTAACAGGACAAGCTCTGACCTTAGAAGAATTCCTAATTGCAATATTTCCACATTCTCAGGATATCTGTTCCTAGTGTATACAGTTAGGGGTCTCAGCTTTTGCATTACAAACTCCTGTAGGCAGCAAGGCTTTCCAACTTCGGTTGCAAATATTTGCATACACGCTCATCTGCAAGAGATTTCTCCACCGTTTATCTCTTATTTAACAATGTTCAGTTGTGCTCATTTTTTTCTCACTTCTCCCCCAAAGGGAAAGTGACAAAGTCAGCCATAATGTGTCTGCAAGTGCCGTGAGACAGAAATCCATAACCATCCCCTTCCCTCCCATATCTAGGCTTTTTTTTTTTAAATTACTTGAAAAAATATTTCCTCGATAAAGCCACACCAGAGGCCAGAATTGTATGAAAAATTGTAACTAGACCTGGTGGGAAATATTTTTGGCAGATGTTTTATTCTCTCGGGGGAAAAAAGTGGCTCTTTGGTCACTGCAAAACGACCTTCCAGTTGGGGTTGAGTTTTTCAGATAGTTTTGACCAGATATGAGTATTCAAGGCTTGATTCAGGGAGCAGTTCGAGCCTCATGGAGGCCGACAGCCAGGCGGAGGAGGGCTCTGGGGGGTATGGCAGGTTCGGCCCCCCCTCTCCACCTCCACCTGGGAGAGTCGTGCACTCCTTATTTCTGTTTCCTTATTTCCTTCTTCATTTTGGTGGCTGGATAATTAAGTGTTTTATGTCAAATGAGCAGCTCAAGCAGAAAGGGCTGAGAGTGACCTAGCTCAGAGTAACCAAATAACTTGGAGAGATCTTGAGCCAAATCTTTGCTCTCAGTTTGAAGAACGGCAGAAAGCAAGTGTGAGCTCTTTCCTCTGAAGACTGTCTTCCAAACATCAATTAAAAAGAAAATCTGAAAGAATAAATTAGGCTACTTGCATTATTTGGAAGAAAAAGGGTAAACAAAAGTCTTATTACATTATCGAACGGAAAAATGCCAGTGAAACGTTTCTGCACTGCTATAGGGAATTCTCCATATGTTATCTCTCCTTAACTATTAAAAAAAAATGCATTGAATTCAAAACAAAGGTATCTTTCAACTACAAAGAAATAAATGTATATTGCCATTTATCCCAGTTGTAGATCACTTTTTACAACTTAAACCTCCAAATTTAAAAAGCGAAATGCAGTAATAGCTGAATCCATTAACTCAGCAATTCTTTATTTGTTGCTGGTGTTTGCAAGAAAATATACACAGGATATTAACATTTGTTTTTGATAGTTAATGTGTAAGTTTATCAGAAAGATAATATTTCCTGTGCATGTACCCACATACAATGTTTATTTACAGAGTTTTAAAACATGTTTACTGACCTTACCAAACAGTATTCCCAAGAAAGCTGCTTAGAGGCTAAGCAAATAGGAAAGCATTTGAAGACATTATTTAAAGAAGGAAGTGACTCACTGACTTAATGAAGGGAGAGGCCTCCACCAGTGAACAGGGCTGCCAAGGCTGGAAACCAGCAGGGCGGGAGGAGGCCCATCGACACCGAGTAATACGATGGCATTTAGTCAAAGGGAAATGAGGTTTGCGGAGTTTGTGACTGTGCCACGAAGAGGGGCTGCCATTTTGAAACCCTTCATCGTGAACATGTGTGTTAGGTGACACTGAGGTTTGCAGCGGTTAAGTCTCCCGTTTTTTTTCTAAGAAGGGTTTGCTGTAGAAAACCCCACGTGTGCTCACACCCGTTGTCAGCAGATGGGTGCTGATGGGCAGAGGAGCTACCTGGACCAAAAACTTTGGGCTGGGCTATCGAGTGCAGTGGGCAGAGCACAACCTTGCCCCTATCCATGGAGTGGGTTGAGCACATTTTGATATCTCAGGTGGGAAAGCAAACACCTTTGTTCCCTTTTCCCCTTTTGCCAGGGTCTATCTAGCCCAATGCTGCGCTGCCCATCTCAGCGCCTCTTGGACCGGATAGTGCGGCGCTACGCTGAAGTGCCAGATGCCGGCAGCATCTACATGGACCACCTCACCGACCGGGACAAACTGCGCCTTCTGTACACGCTGTCAGTGAATTCGCACCCCATCTTGTTACAGGTATGCACTGCCAAGCCTGGGGCTGAAATCTCGCTCAGCAACCCTTCTCTGGCTAGTCCTTGAATGAGAGGGTGCCCAGCTGCAGAGGAATCCCAGGCCCTGTCCTTTAGCAAGATCCACTCGGTGCCTCGCAACAGCTTGTGAAGTTGCTGGGAGAGATGGATGCCCAACCCCTTAAGCAAATCAGAACCCAGACGGATTATTGTTACAATAACACGCTGTAAAAGCCAGAGTTTTATACGTCCCCAATACTGCAGAGCACTCTGTTTGCACTGCTAATGCATTGCTTAAAATCACAGCCTGTTTATAAAATCCAAAGCGTGAGAGAGCACGTTTTAACGTGGGCGCACCAAGGAGTAGCATTAAGGTGGCGCGTGGCCTAGGAGAGCACTGATTTCCCCAGCTTAACCCTCTACGGCTACTCTATGTCATTTCTCTCTGTGCATGCAACTGGTAACCGGCTCTACGGCAAAGTGCAGCTTTGCAGAGGCCTTTGGTCGAATTCCAGATAAAACGGAGTTGTCGGTTTGCAGGCAAAGAGCTGGGAGGCTCTGCATCCCTCCCCAGGGATCTGGCACCTTGGCATCACTGATGTGACACAGTCCCCTGTCTTTTCTTAAGAGTGTTTCAGCGGGAATCTCCTCATTTTTCCCCAGCACCAACCCACCTCCCCACGGGGAGGGGGGAAACAGCGCCCAGCTGCCACCTTGCACCCCAGGAGCCTCCCCCAGCTGCCCCCACCTCAGCTCACCAGGGCATAAGGCTGCGGCTCTCGGCCCTGTAAAGATTGGGGAACGCAGCTCGTACAGGTGAGCAAAGTATGCCAGAGAGACTTAAAAATTTATGTGGTTGCCTGAAATGCCTTTAGAGGAAAAGGGAGAGGCAACCTTAAATATGCAACTGGAAGAGTCTGTAACTCCCCCTCTGCCCCGCTGAGATGGACAAGTTAAAATATAAATGGCAGAAAGCTTTATGTTGGCAAGGCTGAGCAACTATGCGATTTCCACGCTAAGCAGTGAGATATAAAGGCCTGGGATAATTGCACTGCTGGCACGGGGTGAAGCCATGCAGTGAGCCCAACCCCAGTGTCCCTGCCGTCACAAACATCTAGGACTTCTGCACCCAAGACTGCTAAGTCTCTTGTAAAATGGGCCAGACAGTTGTTACAAATTAGCTAAAACTGCTTTAGCCCCATCTCACCTTCAAGCCATGACTTCAGCTATGCAATGCTCATGAGGGAGCCATTAAAGACTCCATAAAGAAGCCTAAAATTAGCTCTTCTGCGCCTAAAAATTTCATGAATTTAAAGTCTATTATTATCTTGGACTTTCCAGTTAGTCTGCTTTCCCTCATAGAACAGATCTTGAAATATCAGATTCTTCTTCTTTAATTAAAAATAAAAAAAAAGTACCTACCTCAGAACTGACTATTGCCTTCCCAGGCTTCTGGGGCTGACTGGGGTTGAGGAACCGAACCCATGCAGTGGTGGGCTGGCTTTAAAAAGCAGAACCAGACACGAGAGCCACTGTTTGCAGCAGGTCAGGCTTCTCATGTGCTCGAGGACATCCAAGAGGGAGGTGGGTCAACAGGCGAGGAGCAGGACAGCCAAAGGCACCTGGCACTTCTGTGACCTGCTCCTGCCCATGACCAGGCAGCAGTGCTGGCCGTGCTCCCCCAGTGCACGCTCCTCCACGTAGCTACACGTCAGGGAAATAGTTTTGGACAGGGGATTTCTGGATTTGACAGCCCATGCTCCGCTTCCACTCTCCCCGGCAGATCTTCCCTGACGTGGAGGGGTGGCCGTTCCCACGGTACTTGGGCGCCTGCGGGCGGCTGGTGGTCAGCGCCAGCACTCGGCCGCTGCGCGACTTCTTCGGTGCCGCCCCTGAGGTGGCCGCCGACCTGGCCCTGCAGCTCCTCGCCGTCCTCCGCTCCATGGGCACCAACGACCTCAACTACTTCTTCTACTTCACCCATGTGGACGCTGGCACCTTTGGCGTTTTCAGCAATGGGCATCTGTTCATCCGGGATGCCAGCATGCTGGGCATCATCGACAAGGAGGAAGGTACTCAGCAGGCTCTGCGGCCGCGCATCTGTTGCGGGAGGTTTTCGTAAGGTGGAGGAAACAAATCGTTCACCTGCTGTGCTTGCTTTCTTGATTTTATTTTTTTAAATAAACCAAACATTGCTTGCTAAATTAGATTGTAAAAGTACAAGAAAAGACTTACCGACAGCGAAAACATCAGTGGGTCCTGCCACCCTTGGCTCCAAATCTGGAAGGCAACAGGAGTTTCATTTGTCTGGTAAACGGTGCCGTGACCGTAGGAGGCTTCAGAGTGCATCCGAGTGCCGCAAGGGTAGTTGCACACGGTCTGGCCGTTTCTGTGACTAGCAACAATATCCAGCATACGCTGCGCTGAATGATCAGATTTGAAGGCTTCCTGAATCACTTCTTTTCCGTAAAAGCTTTTCGCACCTAAATGCCAATATTTGCAAAGAGAAACTTTGTAGGTTGATTTCTTTTAAGTATTGGGTCAAATCAGACTTTCAGGTGCATTTATCATATTAGTTGTAAGAACAAAAACACAAACTCCTTTTTCTAGGTTTTCCGTAAAAGGAAGGACTACTTTTCACTTTTCAAAGGTTATATTGGTCTAGCACTGGAACTAGAGCCAGTCAAAGACTATTCCTCCAATAATTTAATATTTCATTTTAATATTCAAATTTTAAAAGGCTTTTGCTTAGCTCAAATATTCAGCTAAGCAGATCTCAGATATTCAGTAGCAGTTGATAGAGAATTTTCCACTAGATTTATTTTTTTCTTTGTTCTTTTTTTTTTTTTTTTTTGTCCCCAAAGCTATTCTTGTGGTCTTGCCTCCAGCGAGGTTAGTTGTTGTAGCAATTTAATACTTTTGGAAGACATGGAAAAACTATGGTCTTGTGGCATTCTTTTATAGGAACTTCCACACTTTAGGTTAGTACTTCAGTTCTTGGCATTTTTTCGGCATCAGTTTGATTGAATAGACAACTCTGCTTCCTCTATGAGGCTATTCTATGGGCTATGGTGGAGTTCTGTCCTTCAGCAAAATATAGACGTTTCAGGAGCAAGAATATTGATTGGCCCATTTACAGCCATAGCACAGAGTAGTTAGTGATGAAAGATACTAGTATCATTTGGATTGTTTTGTTACTAAGCTACAAAGATATTTGATTATTCGAGATTTTGCTCCACGTTTCTAACAACTGATTTAATTGTCTTCAATAGGGAGCCAGCTGACCGATTACCAGCAGGAGTATAAAGATATATTTAGCTGTTTGACTGTGGACTGCCAGTCTGCAGTTGTGTCCTGTAACTCAATCAGGGAGAAACAGAGTCTCGTCATGGTGTGTCAAGAGCTTTTGCCTAAGCTCCTAAAAGGGAAATTCCTTCAACCGGTGCAGGAGAAAATAGACGACTTCCTCCAGCACTGTGCGGACGGCTTCACCGACGACCAGGGTGTTGATGATGCAGTTGCGAAGCTGGCAGAGCTCCTGAAACCGCTGCGATCTTGCGATTCTCGTTTTGCCTATCGCTACCCTGACTGCAAATACAGTGACAAATACTGAGAGAAGCTCCTCGGGAAAGACCGGAGCAGCCTCAGAGCTTCACCATCGCGGAGGGCGAAAAGGGCCTGGGGTAGCTGGGAAGAGCTGCATCAGAACTGAGGCATCCTGATCGAGACAGAGGAGGAAGCAGAGCGCACGTGGGATTTACTGCTCATCTCCCAGAGACGCATTTGTTACATGGGGTGTTTGATGTGACATAAGGCTTATGGATTATAAACATCATCATGAGAGACATGGGCTACAAGATTTATGAATCTTCTTCGTGCATTTTGGCCTTGGAAAAATTTTCCATGCCATCCATTAAAAAGAAACCCTCCGAAGGCAGCTGGCTCACTCACAACTAGCTAGATAGAAGAGCTTTATTACCGAGAACATCTTTTTGATAGAGATGATAGATACATAATGTGAGATGGATGGAAGCATTTAAGACTTTCCTTGTGGGGATTTTTAATAATGCTCTAAAAATCATATCTAAACTGAATCATTTGATCAGTTCCTTACCATCACCCACTACAGATCACTTTTATAAAATATTTAAATTTTATTACTTTTATGACATATGGAACGGAAAGAAGCAATCGACAGCATTAAAAAGCTGAAAGAACCCATGTCTCTTGAGACTTAATTTCTCTAATCCCCAAATATCATTACTTTTCATCTTCCACGGTTTTGACTGGCAGTAATTGGAGTCTAATAAAGGTTCTCATTTCAAGACCAAAAATCCCCAACTTTAATATCTGATTGTCCAATAGATACGTTCACACTTTCCTCTCTAAAAATATGGAGACAACCGGTTTTGAACAGAAGTGGCCCTCAGAGCTAGAAGGAGGTGAATTATTTTGTGGAGGAAGGAAGGAGAAGGTAGGAGCAAAAATGCAACTTTTTCACCCAGAATTTGTGAGTCCCCACCCACCACGGTCACTGTGGGGAGTCAGAGGCCCCACCAGAGACCTTCCCTGCTGTCTAGGGGACTGCAAGACCTTGCCTGGGTTTGGGGCATCTCTCCTGGGACTCAGGTGCCCGGGAGTCACCAAGCAAATTTGACTGAGCTGAGGCAGGAACTAGATTTTCAGGATCCCTCTGGAAGTGTTTTAATCACAGAAACAGTCCTCCTCTAGCCGTGGTTCAAAAATTATATCAGTAACAAACATAAAAGCAGGGAAAAAAATGTGAATTCATTTGCATTGCTAATCTATGTACAGAGTTACCAAGAGCAGAAACACAAGTCAGAATTTTATGTTGGCTAATGCAAAGGGAGGCTGGAGAAGGGCTCCGTTCCCTTTGCGCATGCAGAGCACCATACCTGCAGGTTGAAGTAACGTATTGTAGACACATCAGGCATCCAAAGGTACACACAGGTCTGACACTGAGAGAATCTGACCCAAGACATTTATTTTGGTTTTCCATTATTCCTCCTGGCATAAAATATCAAGTGCACCTTTCACCTCTCAAGAAGTGGAACCACTGAAAATAATTTGTAGGTAAATTTAGCTCTAGGCCCAGATGGTCTGACAGCAAAAATGTTTAAATATACAATATAAGCTACTGTTGCAGCTCTCTTTCACGATTTCAGTCTATTTCTACATCATGGCTCTCTTCCAGTAAGAAAAACATGTCCTTCGCCTAGATCCATAAGGCTGATTAGCAGTCTGTTTTCAACAGTTTTTCTTGAATTTGTCTTCATCTTAGATCTCTCAGTCTGTGATTTTACCTAATAACTGTACATTAACTCCAGCCTCTTTCTGTCCAGGGAGTCCCTCTCTGGTGCAGAAGGCTGGCCACCCCTTGAAAAAAGGGGACCGGAAAAGCTCGTTGCTTTACCGTCAATCTCCTTGTAGTTAGCAGTTACTTACTCCCTGCTCTGGGCTGTTAATTGATGGCTCCCATTCAGCACTGGAAGGGAACATTGCTTATACAGTTGTAGCTAAAAATGCACACCACAAAACGTCCAAAAAGCGCCAAGATGAAGAGCTCTCCAGGCCCGCCCATGCCCAAGCAGAGATCATTTGCAAACCGTGGGTCTGCGGAAACCTCTTCGCAGTTACTCAGTGACAGCCTGACACAGCCCGGCCTCTCATTCAGCTCTTTCTGCTTTAGCAATTACTGGACTCACGCTCAGATGAGGACCAGCCCTTGCAAAGCTGCTCCATGCTGGGTTCACCTCCTCTCCGATGCATATTTGGGTTTTTTTTTGGCTTTTTTTGTCTTTAATCGTGTATGTTTTTTCCTTTGGAAAAGTAGCCGCTCATTTACCATGCTGATCTGTGAAAAATGTCTCATGGGCAGTAGGGCATCTCTCAGCAGCCCACTGAAATGCAGAGAGGTGAGAAAGTTCATCACCTTAGGGAAGGGCAAGAGGAAGCCCATATCGCTCCAGTCTAATCTGGCATCAGATTAAAGAATGCAGAGTTGTCGTATGGGCTGTGGGAGGGCCCCGATAACTCACGATCCTAAAATGCTGGGTATAAGAAATGAAAGAGCCACTGTCTTCCCCTGTTGCTGGACGCAGGCAGCAAAACCGCAACAGAAGTTTTGAAACACATGGCACCTATTTCTACATAGCTCGATTCAAAGATGTTGAAGTGAAGAGGACTGCCTTCCATAGACTTTGATATCAATTCAAAAATAAAATAAAATAAAATAAACTTTACATGATTAGAAATAACACGATCATTGATTCAAAAATATTAAAGAGATGGGAGCTGTATTCACCACCAGGTTCTCTTCAGACATAGCTTACAAAAACCAGGCTCATGTGACTTATGTGCTAGCCACAAAATCAGTTCATGGCTCAGAGAACAATCATTTTCCTAAACTAAATCTCATTTCCCTATATTTATCTGCCCTTATTTTCACTGCCAATTTTTTCTTTTAATATTTTCTCTTTTTTTGGCAGTCAGGACCTGGAATCAGTGCCCACCCTGTCTGTCTGCTTCAGTCAAGCCTTAAAACGCTAGTAGGCCAAGGTCCAAAAGGTTGTGAAATTAATTTATAAAAGATAATTATTTTAAATCAGATCCTCCCCAAAAGAACTCTCTAGTAATTTTTTCCTCTCTACATTTATTTCTGACAGTGGCTTTGTGTGAGTCTTTGCATACTGTTCCTGGTAACAGTTTAAAAACATATCAGGCCTTCTTGCTTCCACAGTATGACAAGAAATGCAGCAGCTTTTCAGAAATCTCACAATCAGTCTGAATACTTCCTTCATTTGTGGATAGCCTGCAGCTGCATTTATGTCCACGTATTTACTAGATGTCTCTCTTACCACCCTATATCCCACATATTTTTAAGCTTTTATGTCAAGAGAGTCTTGGTTTATAAAACTGTATTTTCTGCCATGTTTTATCTAGTGCCATATTTTAATACTCTCATTTCTCAGGGGACGGGTACTGCGTATAGGCAGCCCTTCGCAAGCGATATTCGCAGTTTCACCCACCCTAGCTTATTGCTCTTCTAAGCATCATTTTCAGTCAGCTCCTTCACACGTTTCAGTGGTGTTCTTACTGCTAAAAGAGCTGCCCCTCTGCCCCAAACAACCCCTTTTTGGAACAACGGCAGCTATCAAAGTCATTAAATTGTCTTTTACGCACACTCCTCTTGCTGAAGAGAGAGCTCACGGGCAGCATTTGCTGAGACAGGCCTTTCCGGAGCGCATGATGTAACGGGCTGCCCTTTAACATAGATACTTGTCGCGTTAAAGGGGGCAGAAATGCCTCCTGAGCTCTAAGACTGGCAGCTGGTCCCACAGCCGAGAAATCCAGCTCAGTTTTTCGTTGTTAAACTGTCCTGGGAGCTCAGTCGGCCTCCGAGTGCCAAGTTCTCGACAGGAGGAGCAGGGAGAAAGGCAGAAGAGTAAAAGAGAGCAAAATAACAGCACGCGCAACGGCTCTGCCTTTTATGTCCTCCTCAACACAATAAATAGCCACGCCAGTATTTCCAGCAGCTTTCTCTCTCTCACCGCACAGGCAGTGGCAAGCGCGGAAATCAGCAAAAGCCTTGTGACATTCCCCTCAGGTAGCTACCCAGCACGGTTCCCCTGGGTGCCTCCTGGCTTTGCACCCTCATCTTCATTTAATAACCGTCTTGCTCAAACACGGCTAGCGCATGGGGGAAACGGCACTGAGACTGAGCCTCTGAGGCTGCCTTACCCCCTCACACTCCCAAATGCTGCAGACACTTTTGTGCCCCTAAAGGCCAGGCCGTCCTAGTACCTCCTGATTAGTTGCCTTGGCCGGGACGTTGCACGTCCAATGGGAATGGGATGTGCTGCGAATTGCTGGGGAAACCTAAGCAGGTATGTGATATCAAGGTGTTTGGTAGCGCACAGGGCTCCCCAAAGCCTTCTAGCAGGGGACACTGTCCTCATGACCTGTCCCCAGAGGCTGAAGATCAAGGGCCATGAGAGAGAAGATCCTGTAAAACTGAGGGTGGGTGAGGATGACAGGGTGATTTCCCACTCCGTAGCTTTTGCGGGTGGCATGTCTTGTCTCTCCTCTTTTCCTCCCTCCCAGCTTCACCTAAGGTGAAGGAAACATCCTGGCATTTTGGGGTGCTTGGGATCAGAAGCAACCAAAAAAAGCATGTTTAGAGTGAGGGCCTGTCCAGCAAGCACAGCCAACAACAGATATTTGCAGGTGCTTTTTATTTGCCTTCTGGTTTTCTGAGACTTGGGTCCCATAGGCCAATTGCTCTCTACAAGCAGGTGCTCTAGATGCTTTATTACTAATTCTTTTCAAGTGAAACCTCGGTTTCTCCCATTATCACATGAATCTGAAAAGTAGAGCTTTAACAAGAATATTGAATGTCATGAAACGTTACGAAATCACAAAAACCAGCGCTATAATACTCTGAATTGGTTCGCCAAGACATATTAACTTGATCAATAGGTGAGTGTAGCTGCTGCTGTATCCTTCATTCCTCTAATTCAGCACTAACAGGAGCTTAGTAGCCATCCAGAAATTAAAACCAAACAAACATGAATTTCAAGGAAATAAAAATGAAATGAGAATAACTCTACTCACAGCAAGATTTTCTGTGGTAGATGTTCAATGTCCAGTCTTTCTTGTGGATTAGAAACGATGGCCACAAACTCTTCTGCTCTCCTTTATATGGGAATGACCTCAGCTGGAGCCTGTTGGCTAGTTTTTAGCACTGCTGTTCAAGGGGGACTTGAACACTTAACAGGAGACCACCAAGGAAGGGTGAAGATGACCAGAGGTCCAGAGAAAATGACAAAAGAGGAAAAGACAGATAGAAAGGTAGGGAGGGACATGAGATAACAGTCTTCAAACGAGTAAAAGCATCAGTAAAGGGATGGGGATAAGCTATTCTCCATTTCAACAGCAGACAGGAATAAATGAGTTTATGCAGTAGTAGGCTAGATGTACCACAGTGAGAACAGCATGGAAAAGGAGAAGCCACTGGCTCTGCAGCACTGGGAGTCTTAAAGCAAGAGCACAGTGGCATGGCTGTCGATGGTGCTGTACTGGGCTAGGAAGCTAGCACAGAGGTTTCCAGAGAGTTTTCCCAGTACAAAGGGTGGTTGCTGAGACTGTGAGACCTGCTCACTTGAATGAGGTAACCTCTGGCATGTGTGACAAGCTGCCAGCCCTTAAAGTTTCGATCCACACATTTCTCATGGAAACAAGACCACCTGAAAGAGGAGAGGTTAGAGGGTTGCTGTTTGGTGGTTGAATACAGAAAATAAAGTAGTGGGTTTACCCATCTGCAGCTAGAACTCCAGAAGGGAAGGGGCCGTAGGAATAAGCCAGTTTTCTCATTTAAAAAAGAATGGCTGTGTTTCTGGGCTAGTTTTACTTGCTGCTTTGGGGGTTCTTGCTCTTCTGGAGCTATGTGAGGAAGTTTTCCTTTCTCTGCAGCTCTCCAGCTGGTGCTGAAGGACACTGCCTACCCTAGAAAAGTAGCCCGTGCTGCCTGCAGTCCTCAGCCCTGCACAAAGTGCCGTAGAAATCCCCCTACTGAGTGTTCCCCCTCCCCTGTACCAGCAGGCTGGGACGACGGCTGCCAACACAACCCTCGCGTCGGTGCTCAGCCCTCTCCCAACCTTCGGGGGAGTGAGCAGGCGAAAGTTTCCTCACCAGGAAAACGTTGATGAGCTTTGGTGAGAGGTGCCTCCTGCACCTCCACACAAGTTGCTCATGTAGCACCTCTCCAAATCTGAGACGGTCACTTCTTTAGGGCTTAACTGCCTGCAATTTTTAAGACTAAGCTATATCCTTTGCCACACAGAGCGTAAACTGCAACAGTTACTGTAAAGCAAGCAAAGACTTTTCCTGGTATTTGAAAGAACAAGAATACGCCAGCCTACTCGCTGGGGACGTGGAGCTTTAGGAGAGCAAATTTGTCAGGTTTTGCAGTCCTATAGTACTACTCAGCAGCAATGCACATAGCTACATGCCTTGCCTTATGCAGTTCATTTGGTACATTACACAAAAGATAGCTTTTTAGACTAACACCCACAGGAGTGTCAGGTACAGTTCAGTGTATTATGTGTTTTAAAAGGACCTTGTCAGTTTTGCTAGATTTTTTTTTCCCTTCAAAATTTAAACATTTGGTTGGATAAAGGCTTGTCAAACTCATTTCTCCAGTGACGTCTGAAAGAAATGCTATTTTTTTCCTCTGAAAAAATAATCAAGCCACTAGGAATAATCAGAGACTTTTCACAGAGTTCAAAAGACCTCCTTCTGTTAGTATTCTTGGTATAAGAAGAGCATGAAAGAAGTTCACCTTTGGGTTTGCACTCATCTCTGGCTGGAGCATGCTGTCACAGAGGTAAACATTTACTCAGATTTTTTGTGACTGCCTCACGCTGGAGACAGAGAAAAGAAAGTGTCCTCTAACTGTCTGACATTATTTCTACTAGCAAAACAAAGCAGGGATTTGTGTACAATTCAGGTACTGCCGAAGGATAGGAGGAAAAAGACTCTGAAAGAATTAAACCACTGGGTAAAAGTGTTGGGATTAAATATACATTTATGTAGACAGAGCACTTTTAACTGTTAGTAATATTTCAGAAGTCCCTGAAAGGAACCAAAATCCTTTTAGGGTAGTAAACTGTGTCGTTGCTGGCATTTCAAAATGGAAAATCTTTCAGCAGGTGGGCAAAGGATGGAGACAGTTGTCCAAATTCCAGGAAACGAATTATTTATCCTTTCAAGTTCTCACTCATGGCATTGCCACTCCTGTGCTTTTCCTAAACATTGCACCAGAGAGAAGGCTGGGGACCCCAGTAGGCCTTTGCCAGACCAAGGCTGTGCGGGATTAAACCTTCCAAATGGTGAAGGATCACACAGCAGTTTAGTGGGAGAGCCAAGTGGTGATGCCTGGCGTTCAAGGGCTTTCCATCCAACAGCTGTATTATGTGGTGACAAACGCTAATAGGGGTTTTGCATGTTAAAGAGGGGCTGAGAGGAAACAACTCTACAAGAAGTAGTTCTTTTGAATTCTGTGAGCAAAACAGCTAGAAAATTTAACTAACAACTATCAACTTCTTTTGTCAAAGTGCTTTGAGAAAGGCTTAGGAGTTCAG